CGCTCAGTATGAAATCAATCGCCTAAGCGCAAGTCAGATGCAAGGTGTACGACCCGCTCAAGGAAACCAAGTGCCGACCCGGCAAATCCATCCTGTCACTTCGTCAAGCGAAAATACCCGAGACCTAGAACTCGCCGAACTACGACGCATTGTCCAGGAAATGAACACAAAGGTTCATAAGGCCACAAGTGCCGCACCGGAACTCGACCGCGTCCTTGAAGAAACGCAGCAAACTCCTTTCACTCGAAGAATAACCAGCGTCTCACTCCGAGGGCGCCAAAAGATAAAGCTCGAGCCCTATAACGGAAAGGGCGATCCAAAAGAATTCCTAACATCATTCGGCATCGCGATCAACCGAGCCGAACTAACCGATAAGAACTTCGAAGCAGGACAATGCCAGATTTTCACCGAGCATCTAACCGGTGCCGCCCTCAACTGGTTCTCAAGACTTAAGCCGAACTCAATCAGCAGTTATCGTGAACTGTCCGTAACGTTTCTCAAGCATTACTCGCCGCTCATACAGAACCAGACGACCAATGCCGACCTGTGGTCCCTTGCGCAAGGACCCACGGAGTCGCTCCGATTATTTATCGACCGTTTCAGGGACGTCATTACCCGGATCGTCGTCCCAGACGAAGCCGCAATCGTAGCTCTGCGCAACGCAGTGTGGTATGACTCTAAGTTTAGGGACGATATCACGCTCCATGTCCCGAACACGCTCGAGGACGCACTTCATAGAGCAATACGAGCCAAGGTAGAAAGCCGGCCACGTTCGTCATAAATAGTGAAGACATGGCGCCCAAACAATAGAACAAATGGGCAAGAGATACCGATGCCATTACTACAGGGCTGGTGTATTGCGAGTATCATAAAAGCAAGGCTCACGCGACGGAAGACTGTCGCTACTTGCAAGGACTCCTCATGGCTAAGTATAAGAGCGGCGGCATCACCATCGAATGTGACCGAGCCCAAGGGGGCAATAAAAACCAAAAACGAAACGAGGCCACTGCTCGGCAATTCCTCCAGGATCGAGCCGACGGAGCAGCTGGAGGCGACGATCAAGCAAACGATTCGGCCAAAAGACAACGCCATGGCAAAGCTGTCGCCGACGCCCCCGCTGTCGTTCGACAAATCCATATGATCATGGGCGGCCTTCAAAATTGCAACGATTCGGTCCGTTCAATCAAGCAGTATCGAAAGAAAGCCAAAATGATGGAGACGTGGCCAGTAACGCCGAGCCAACCTTCCGTGGAGATCGAACCTATTTCTTTCACGAAAGACGACCTCGTCGGAGTCGATCTCCCCCACAACGATCCGCTGGTTGTCGAGCTAATCGTCAGCGATAGCCGAGTTACGCGCGTCATGATCGATACGGGCAGCTCAGTCGACCTAATCTTCAAAGACACCCTCACCGCGATGAACGTAGCTGACCGGCGTATAAAGCCGCGTTCTCGACCATTGGCTGGGTTCGATGGCGATTTCATCATGTCTCTCGGCACTATCAAACTACCCATGTTTGTTGGCGGGACGATCGCCTGGGTTAAGTTCGTTGTCATCGATAAACCGATAATATACAATGTAATCTTGGGGACGCCGTGGCTTCATCAAATGCAGACCGTCGCGTCCACCTACCACCAGTGCGTCAAGTTTCCCACTCATCAGGGAATCTTTACTCTCAAAGGAAATCAGCAAGTAGCGCGGACGTGTTTCCTGATCGAACACAATAACCGCGCCAAAAAGAAATTATAGCAACCAAAGAAAGAGGAGCCCACGCCCCGCTCCGCAGTAGCAAAGGCACCGGGCAAATCCTACGAGGAATCGGAGCTAAGTCGGACGGAACTTGTGAATATCGACGCGTCGGATCCACTGCGATGCATCGGCATCGGAGCTGAAATTAGTCTAGAAATCAAAGCGGCCCTTGTGGCCCTCCTCAAAGAGAATTCGTCAACCTTCGCTTGGAGCGTTGAGGACATGCCGGGAATCGACCCCTCGATAACGTCCCACGAGCTAGGCGTGGATCCGACATTCAAACCTGTTAAGCAGAAAAGACGCAAATTGGGTCCGGAACGAGCCAAAGCAGTAAATGACGAGGTCGAAAAGCTACTAGGCGCCGGCTCCATCATCGAAGTCCGATATCCAGAGTGGTTGGCAAATCCCGTCGTAGTCAAAAAGAAAAACGGTAAGTGGCGGGTG